TAAATAAAAACTTTATATAAATATAATCTATTTAAAAAATTAAATAACTGTCAGGGTTTTTAAATTTTTAAATTTTTAAATTTTGTGTTGTTACATATATAATTTACACTTAAAAAATTTGTTGCACAATAGATATTTAAGGATGATCAATGCATTGACAGCGAAATAATAATCATTTTTTTCAATGTAATTCTTAACAAATGACTCGAAGAAATCGCGTGCGCGATTTCTAAATCACCCTGTATATCGCTACGGACGAGGGGAGGAGCAAAGCTTGATTCGCGCAACTGCGGTCACATACAAGTGTGATAAGGCAATCCTCCGTTGGATAGAGGTCTCTCAGCGAGCGATACGTACAACTATCGAAGGGCAGCTCGCGAGGAACGCGGGCTCGCGCCTCGATGTCATCGTGACGATCCCAACAGGAAGTCGATTCGCGACCGGAAATTAGCCCCGTTCACGTCCCGCTCGTCCCGTTCTGCGGTCGCAAGAGAAAGATCGTGAGAAGTGAGCAGGTAGCATTCGGAGCACAGGAGAAGAAAGAAAGAGAGGGGGAGTGAGAGATCAGCAGGAAGATAACGCAAAGAGAAAGAACGAGAGAGAACGAGAGAAGCAGTCAGGTGGTGGTGGAAAAGAGAGAAAGAGAGATAGAGAGGGATCACGTACAGGCGCGAAAAGGGGAGTGGCGGGATAGTTGGGGGTGAGAAAGAGACGGAGAGCTTACCATCAGTGATACCGAGCGTGAATACTATCCCGCGAGTCGACGTGGCCGCGAGACACCCTCGTTGCGAAAGGGTGTATAGAAAGAAGAGGAAAGAAAAGGAATATAAACGCATTCGCGGGTCGCATTCCGACGTCGCATCGAAGGGAGGGGGTGAAAGGGCATCGCGCGGAAGTGAAACGTTTATAAGCCGGCAACGCTACGCAACGCGACGCAGCGCAGCGCAGTGCAACGTAGGGCAGCGCAACGCAACGCAACACAACGCAAACGCATCGCAACGGCGACGTCGCGACGTGACGCGGAGTGGTCGCAAGTGCGCAAGCACCCTCTCCATCGCTTGCGTGACAAGTGTCCGACCGTTCCGCTCGCAAAGTTCCTCGCGACTCGACGCGGAGCGCACCAAGCGAGTGCTGTACCGGAGGAATGTACGTGTGGACCTAAGAGAAGACTCTGTGAGGCTCGAGATGGGTGTTTAATCTTGTGACAACGAATAGGCAACCTCATCTATGAGGGCGTTCTCGCGTTGGTAACGACGGTGACGAGGTATATATAATGAGTGCGACGTCAGCGATGATACGGTCTTGGCGTCGATAGAGGAGCACCTTGGAGAGATAGACAACCCTCGACCCCTCATCAAATTGTCAGCTGAAGAAACGGTTGTCGTGGGTGTGTAACTGTCTGCTCGGGGACGATCGACTGCGTGGGCGTCGCGGCGGCCGTTAGAGGTGCGCCGAGAAGCGCCATTGTCGTGTCGGCCGCCACGTGAATCGTAAGCGGACTTCTCCTCGAACGAGATCGAGGGATCGTGCGGAGATTGCACAGATAGGTATTCATCCGTCAAATGGACGTGCTCTGCTATTCGAGCATGTCCCTTGCAGGCATGGTGGGATCCAGTTAACGAAACGGTGATATACCCTAAGGGTCTACATAGTGGTTGGGATGACGTATCGCCTCGTCGCAGGTTTCAGAAGATAACGGAGCGGAAATATCCCGACAAACGTCGAGAAGCTACAGGAGACTTGAAGTGTCAGCAACAGCAGCAGCAGCAGCAGCAGTAGCAGCAGCATCAGCAGCAGCAGCAGCAGTGACGACGGCGACGACAGTCGACCGCGCGAAGATCGAGTCGCGCGAAAGTGGAGTCCTATTTATCAGCAGCGGCAACCCAGTGACCTGTTTTCGTTTTCAATCGATGCGGTACCAAAGAGTTTCGAAGGATCGGAAGGACAAAAGGGCGCAGCCATTATCTAGGAGCAGAGTCCAACCGATATCGTTCAAGTATCATTTCGTGTGCGGAATCGCGCGTTGATTAGATCCACAATTAGGAAGTTGAGAAGCTACGAGAAGAAATCCGAATCTTGAGACTCTATTTATCTGTCTCGATAGCGGTGAACGGGCGAAGTGTGGCGTCCGTGAGATCGAGGATCCGAGGATCTTGGGTGATATATCTCGCGTATCGTCCGATGGTGCATTCGGGCAGCGCAGCGCGTGAGGCCGGGCTGCAAGAGAGAATGCGAGAGCCTCCTCACAGCCTGTGAACATGATTTGTCATACACATGCGACGGGCAGTAATCGTACGACGAGAGACACCGACGACGACGACGACGACGACGAGGAGGAGGAGGACGACGAGGAGAAGGACGACACCCGACCACTCCGCGGCCATGCCACGAGCACGCTGTGCGCTCGTATGAGACCAGCCCGACTACTGCCCGATTGCCCTTCCACGTATCAGCAGCAACAGAAACAACAGCAGCAACTACTGCAAAGGCTGCGAAAAAAGGGGAAAAAATTGATATCGCGTCATACATTGATCAGCGTAAAATCTAAGGACGTGATCTACCGCCATCCGTTATCGTTATCCCTCGTAAAGGAGGCCATACCGAAGTCATCGACCACGATCACGGAGGAAGTCCCGCTTGGTCTCGATTGGCGCGACCTGCGAGTGCAACGTACCGCGAGTATCGAGCCGACGACGACGGTGCAACCGTCACGACGACGACGACGACGACGTAACCCCGGTGCGCTCGCGTTCCCGCGTCGGTGCGGTGCGGTGGTGCGGTCAACGGGTGTCGGATGACTTCCCCAGGCCGACAGACGTGTTATGTAGTCGTAGAAGGTTATTATATATTGTCTCGGTCATTATATCCAGTAACGAAAGTCGTCGTGGAAGAGGCGCGTCTAGGGTGCAGCCCCATCGGAGCAACGTTAACGTCCCGTCGACGTCGACGTCGTCGGTGGTGCGCCGGCCTGCCTATCCGCGTCATATCCACGTCGCATACCCCGTGCACGCGCATACATTGCCAACACCGTGATGGCGGAGGCACTACCTCAGCCCGACATGTCGCACCTCACCCCCGAGGAGAGACGCATCATAGAGGGTGTTTTAATGCGCCAAAAGGAGGAGGAGGAACAGGATCATGAGATTATGAGGTACGCGACTATAGACTATATGCTCATTATATTACATGTACTTTGCGAAAATTTTGCCTCGATGACGTATAGACACGTGGAAATTTTCCCTTTTTTCCCGAACTTCTTATAAAGAAATTTAAATAGAAATAATTATATGTGTGGTGTCTTATATTAAGTTTATTTATTATTTGTAAAGCAGCACATCGAAAAATAATACTGAATACCCGCAGAATATAAACTAATAGTAACATTATATTAATCAATTAACTAATTAGAATCAAGTAAATAATAGTTTAATCAAATAAATAACAGAAAAAAAGGATTACGAGCTAAGCGAGTTGTTTAATGTTAAATACTAAAAAATTGAATCTTTATAGAAATATTTTAATCTGTATCGGGTCATTCTCAATATGAAAAATTAAAATTAAAAGATTTATATAGAATGTAATGTTGATTAGTACATAATATTGATCATAAAATCGACAATTAAAACTGTAATTATAAGCGTACAAAAAGTATTAATTCGCTCTTAGAAACACTTTCGCTCATATTTTGTGGATAGTTAATATCCACGCAATCAATACTTCGAAAAAGATTGGAAAAGTTGTCAAATTTTGTGATACAAAATTAATAAAATTCACAGACAATGATAAAAATTGCTTGGCTTGTAGCATTGTATTAATGTTGTAACGTCCTACTCTCTCCAATGTAAGTGTTATGTATAACATGCATTATATTATATTTATATTGTTGGATAGGAAATTATAATATTGATATAATTTTACTGTTAGTTGTATTTTGCGAATAGTTATTGTGACATGAAGTCTATTGCGTATCTATTCCGAAATATACACAATATACGAATATTATTGTACTAAATGTATTATATGTAAAAAAAAAACACATAAGAGGTCAAGGAGTTAATTGATAACGTATAATCTCAAGATACGAAAGAGATAAAGATAATACAATGTATACAATAATAATTTTATTCATTTAATAATATTTAAAATGTTGCATCTGAGAAAAAATGGTAAATTGCTAACAATAAGCAATAAGTAATCAATAATAAATAATTAATAAGTAATTATATTATTTAACTAAATAGTGTAAACAATAATTGACATAGCTTTTCTTCATTTATGTCATTTAGTAAAACGTTAAATAACATTGAACTTGAAATATCATTATAACAAACTAAAAACTTTAACTTTTTTGCTCTTTCCAGTGGTAGTTAGGTACAATAATCACATCTTAAAGCGAGAATGTACGTTGAGGTTTTTTATTGCTATCATATAAGCGTGGCTCGCGCGTTGGATTCGAAACTATCGATGAAGTATTGTTTCACAAGCAGGACGCGCGAGCTTTCATACGGGTATTTAGGACTCTCTATTGCACCGGATATTGCCAGGCTGGTTAAATGCCTGTAATAACATTCACGTACCGTGATGCATGTGGCCAGTATTGTCCATCGCGCTTTCGGTAATTGTGCCATTTTTATTCCCATTGCCGCAAATAAAACCGTGAAATTGTATAACGCCAGATGAACACTATTGAGAGTACTGATATTTTACTGGAATAAAAAGTTGATATATCAGCATTAATGGGACATTTAAGCGGATATACGCAAATATCTTTCAGTTTCACGATTTCTAAATTTACAAGAAGTTATTTTTTTCAACATCAATATGTTGTGTTCAATATGTTAGAAATATATTTAATATTTTTAAAAATAATTTCAAACTTAGAAATAACTTGGATATTTGAATAAAGATTAAAATTAATTAATAGATATTTTTATTAAGTTCTATATTTATTCGTAATTTACTAGAATATTAATGTATTTAAAAGTGTGCATTACAAAGAGGATAACAACTTTAATTGTAATATAAATGAATATCTATTTTAACGTTATTGGATCAGTGATAACGTCAAGATCATGTCTCGAGTTTAGAAGTTATCAGAATTAGTAGATAAAAGATATTAATGATCATTTAAGATAAAAAGATATTAATGATCAGACCAGCGCAAAAGTTAGTGCAGAAGACGCGAAAAAAAAAAATTAAAAAGTGAGATGTCGTATGGTTTTTACCGCAATTGGCAGACACGGACGAAACGACAACCGATCGATTGACTAAAGGTATTTCTTGACCAACGGGTCTGCTCCGGATCGTTTCACCTATTTTCCCGGCTCACCTGCTCATTAGTCCTTGACCGCTTTACACCTACATCTTCCATTTATGTATCCATGGCCCCGCACATGCTCCCGATTACCGCGTCGACTCTCATCTCTTTTGTATCAAGCGGTCAAAAATAAAAATCGCTTATAATTGTCTTCGACATCTGCAAATATTCTCGCCCTTGTACCGCCTTCGCGACAAGGTTCTGCGTCTCAGGTGACTCGTGCATCGTGCGATCGACTCGTCGAAACGTGTTGGATGTAATGTGGACGTACATACAATCGATTGCGATCGGCCTCGCCGTATCGTGATGATAAAAATAAGGCGACCGATCTGTGCTCCGCTTATCACAGGAGGCGACGACTGGATCGGCGTGGCGACGGCGGTGTGCGTAATTGCGCGAACGGAGACCGACGTTCTATCTATGATGGCTAACAATAACTGTAAACGAAGAGGAGGAGAGGAAGGGAAAGGAAAAGAAAGAGAGAGGGAGGGGGAGAGGGAGTCCGGGCGTTGCGCAGTGAACAGGTTTTATTGATAGGTCGTCGCGACTGAGCGAAAAACGAGAACGTGAGAACGAAGAGAAAGAGTAATGAGGAAAGCGTGCTGTGCCATACCGATGCGCGCGAGATCATGTAATGTAGACGACAAGTACGTGTAGGGACACATGTAAAATGCAAGGCGACGAGCCTTGACGTGGCGTAGTAACGAGCTGCTGCAGCTGCATAGGGTATGCATAGGTCTATGCGACCATAACTCGTGGACGGGGTGTGAAAGCGTTTGGATTGGCACGGTAAATTCTTAGAGGGTGAAATACGCATCTTGCAGATAGCACGTATCCATCGGTGGTAAGGACTAAGGCAAGGAGGGAGGGATGGGTGATGAAGTGTAAATATCATTGAATAACGAAAATAGGCCGGACTTGCAAGAAAGTTAAGCCGATAATTACGCCTTTGCGTTAACTTGCCGTTTATCAGCATCTTCGATTTTAGAAAGAGTAAATAAAATTCTAAATTTCTGAAAGAAAGATAAATTACCCGTGGCTCCTCTGAAAAAAGACGATAAATGTGCATTTCGAAAGATCGGAAGTCGTTTTCTTTATCGAGCATTAACGTTTTATGGCCTTTGTTTTATTTTATAGATATCTATGATCGCACGAAGTATACGATATTTGTATGATTTTAAAACGCTACATTCCTTATGATATTTTTTTTGGTATGAATGCTTCTACATCAGGTCGTTATAGTAAAAGGATATTATTATTACAATTGTGATATTAATACATTAGGATAAAAACATAAAAGACAAATCCGCGCGAGAAAACGTATTATACATATTATAATGACAATTGTTGTCTTGGCAATTTAAATTGAGAATAAAATTTTCTTTTTGTTCAAGAATTAAATTAACAAGAAAGTTTAATTCTTTGCAACTCAAAAGTTTAATAAATGAATTATTATTATTATTATTTTATAAATATTTTTGTTTTATCGAAATTGATATTTGGAATCTATCTTAATGTAGAACATCGAAGATAGAAATCCAATTTCGTCACACGCTAGAAGCATAAGAAAGTTACACAAAATCACTGGGAATGTATCTATGATACTTCATCTATAAGCTTCTTTTTAATCCTTTCATGTCGACGGGAAAGCAGTTTCTTGCGTGTCGCGACCTTTCCACGATCGCTCGTAACACAGAAGTGAGAAAGTCTTGTGCGACTCTTTGTCGAGTGTGATCACCGTTGCGTGCGCGAGTCACTCGATTATCGGTAAAGTAATTAGAGAAATATAGGTATATAGATACGATGTAACTTCTCCCTCTCCCCTCCTTGTTGTAACACAATGCGCTGGCTTTTGTTCTATCGACAAACTCAAGATTTGGGTTACGGTGTCAGGATGCGTAGCGCGGCTATCTCCTTTATTTGACAATCGGTCAAGAAGATAAGGAGATTTAGTTTGTATAGCTTCTTGACTATAAGACTCATAATATCGATTCCAAAATTTCGTTCTACGACGTTTAGTCGATTTTTTCATAGTGTCGTATATTTCATATCGTACGTTTCTATTATCGGGGTAGAATCGGTACGTCACAATGCCAACAACCCCCGATTGAAGCTCGGCACTCTGATTCGCATACATAATCCAAGATATAAATCCTAAAAATGGCTGCAACGTGCCGTCAGAGTGCTCACCTATTCCTACTTGCAGCTACGACAGTAACTACGATTTATTTGCCGATCGAGCATCTTTCATATAAGTTTTGCATATTGCAAATGTATATGTATCTACACTTACGCGTGAAAATTTGGTGCATTGGCAAGTAGTATTTGATCTTGCTAATCGACGAGTAGATTTTTTTTTTTTAACATAATTTCTGTCATCAATCCGTCTATAAAAAAAGTATATATATCCTTGTGAGCCTTGTGACACTTATATACATACATTGACGGATTCAAAAACTTATCAAGTTTGTCAAATCACTTGTCAATCAGATTCACAAACTTAGCCGTTGGCACGTCGCAAGTGAAAATTTTTTTTTAAATATGAAAAGATAGAATATTAAATTATTATTAAAATTATTACATTGAAAAAATATTATTTAAATATATATAATTCATAAAATATTTTATTTTAAATTATGTTATATTCACAAATAA